CCTGGTTTCAACATTTTCCTCCTCAGATGTTATATACAAGGCACTGGGGCAGAGAGGCGATCTGGGAATCGCTTGTTTAGAGTAGGGCTACCTACACCCCTACATCTCTGTCGGGGAGGAGGGGGGACAAGGAGGCCACAGTAGCCCAGCGTTTCTTCTGCAGAGCTGCTAGTGGGACTAACCTGAGAGATTTGAAGACATGAAACGCCAATACCCAGCCTGCCCTGTTTCCACTTGGCATTCTGACTTAACTGGTCTGGAGACCTGGACGTTATACAGGAGGTGTTATATCTTAATGTTAGCCATCGCAAAACACACCGGACACCAGAGTAAGGGAAAGGGTTTATTGGGGAACACCCTACAGACCAGAGTGAAGGGGCGGCGAAGGAAAAAGAGAGAAGGAGATTGTGAGAGAGAGAGACAGAGGAGGGAGAAGAGAGAGGAGAGGAGGAGAGAGGCCAAGAGAGCGCAGGAGAGAAGGGCCAAGAGAGGAACAGGCCCTTTTAAAACTTTGCCTGAGGGCGGACAGGGAAGCAGGAGCATCGAATCCCATTAGGATGGGGGTGGAGCCTGGCTCAGGTAGCTGGGCCATGTGGCCATCTGGCTACAACTGCGCCAGTTTCCTAACAGGAGGACTTATGAACGTTCATGGACAATGAAATTAAAAGGCAAGCTTACTTCGGTGCGTGAAGAGGCAGGCTTTCTAATTGGATGCTGTGGATAGAACGTGTGACGTTGAGAATCATTGAGTATCTGTTGCTGGAGTCATTGAGGCAGAGACATGCCTGTTGTGTGTATCATACTGTTCATTTTCCATGAACTAGTTTATGCACTGTAAAAGATTCCTGGTGAATTTAATATGCAGTCAGCATTGAAACCACAGCAAGTAGTGACCTTCCCTCTGTCCTCTGCCCTTAACCCCCTTTCATTTCCATAAATCGTTGTCCTGCTCGGGATAAAGTATTTTTGATTGCTTTTGTTTTTACATATGATTTCCAGGATTGGAGAAATTATTTTATCTCACAAAGATGGAATATCTTTCAAACTTGGTGATTTTAACTCAGTTGTACACCATGCCATGTTTTTATTAAAGTTTTTTATTCATAGTTTATTACGTGACCATAAACCTGTTTCATAGGTAGTTGTCTATTTCCAGTTTCTCATTAAATACCAACTAAAACCTAGAAGCAATCTGGCTTGTTTCTGTTTCCTGCAGGGAAGAAAGAGAATTTTCTAGAGTGTGAAGAATGCTCTCATTGAAAAATAGCATCTTGCTGCTGAATTCCACATAGATTTTGTGGATTTACTTCCGAGTTTAGGGCTTGAGGGAAGAATCAGATGCCACTAGGAGCTGAGCCTCTAACAGGAAACCAGGATGGCAGATGTAAAACTTCAGAAGGTTCATGGAAACTGTGTATTCTGAAAAAATGATGCATGAATTTCAGAATTTTTCTTGAACCCAAAAAAAATATTTTAATTCCATTTCCCGTGAGCCTTTTGAAGCCTCCTCATAGTTGAGCAAAAGGCCACATCATGAGACTATTACATTGTAAATCAACTTCAGCCACTTTACCCCTTATTCAAGTAATTCAGTTAGGATCTAGCTCATTTCTGACACTTGATTTAAAATGGGCAGCATCTTCATGTCTTCTCTTTCAGCAAGTCCTAATTGTCTAAATAGAGATTATTTGTTTTACAAATCTTGTTAAATTCTTCTATGTGCATGAGCTGATAAAAACCATCATCAAGTATTATTACTAAATATAATAGTTTCATTGCCACTAGTTTCATTATCAAGTATTATTACTAAATAGCATAGTTTCATTGTATTCTACACTCTTTTTTGGAAAATTTCTGAAGGATGATATTCTGGATTTTTAGAAAATTAAGTCTGTAGGGAAAACTATTTTCTCTGTTCATGTTTTAACTATAGCTAGTCAATAAAGTTTTGTTTGCATTCAGAATTTGGCCATCTGTATATTCTGTCATCGTTGTGGGACTTTCACAACCTCCATCTTGTCTCTGATGAGTTGAGACCTTTGGTCTGGCTTCACTATGCAAGGATAGTTGATGTGCTGCCTTCGCACTTAACCTCCTGATGTAGGGATGGTATCTGTCGTGGTCAACGATTGTGATCAACACAGGGCAAGGCACAAAGCACTGTGCGTACCAAGGACCCTTAAATCAATTCTACTCTCTTCTTCTCCAATCTGGGGACACTACTCAGCTTGGAATTCTACTTAGGTGACCTTCTCCCTTTATTGTGGGAGCGTTTCTTTGATTCATTTATTCTAATCTTCATATATTTACATATATTTCCTCTTCTTTCCAGTCTTCCTCCCTCTTCTCCCCTTTTATGGTCTTCATATCCACTTTCTTTTTTAAGTCTTGGTTTTATCCCCTTCCATTTTAGGAACAAATGTTAAGTAGAAAATATTAGTATTGGCTGTTGATGTAAGAACTTTATTGTGTAGTAAAGAGACATTCTGATTTTATAAATATTGCAGGACTTTCCCAGTAGAGCCTGAAATGCTTGGAGCTTTAGTCGGCTCCTAGGACTTTGGCCAATAAATCTTACCAAGATGAAATGACCGTTGAGTCACACATTTGCATTTTGTTGTTGCCTTAGGATAAACTTTTATTTTGTACTTTTAATTTTATTGGAAAATAAACCACTTCTGACTCAAGACTCTGGGTTGAAAACTCATTGTACCTTTTCATTATCCATCAGTACCGATAATAATGGTATCTGACCACTAAATAGAGAGGACACCATGTGTCACGTGTTCTTTGATAAGAAAGTCCTTGTTTGTTGTAAAATTAGCCTAACACCTTGCTTTTGCAAAACCCTTCAAATTTCGTATGTTCATGGAAGAAATCATGTATGTGATAGAGCTATCTTTCAACAATTTTTTTAGGATTTATTTTATTTATTTTGAAAACCAGAGTTAGAGAGAGGGAGAGACAGAGAAGGCTCTTTCATCCATTGGTTCACTCTCCAGATCGCTGCAATATCCAAGGCTGGACCAGGCCAAAGCCAGGTGCTTCATCCAGGTCTCGCACATGGGTGCAGGGCCCAAGCACTTGGGCCATCCTCCACTGCTTTACCAGGCCATTATCAGGGAGCTGAATTGGAAGTAGAGCAGCCGGGACACAAACCAGTGCCCAGATGATACACTGGCGCCACAGGCAGACGTTTTACCCACTACACCACAACACAGGCCCCATAACCAAGGGCCATTGTTTGTCACTCTTATGCCTGGCATGCCTTGAACATGGGTGACAGTCACAATGATTGTTAGCAGCTACAGAGGCTGGCTGTGTGACAGTGCAGTAAGCTGTGTGTACACATGGACTAATAAGTGTTTGCTCAGAGTTAAGGGAGCAGAAGAATGGTCACTGCTTCCAGATTCCAGCACACAGCTCTTGACTCAGCTAAGTAAATGGACCTAGAAAATTATTATGGAAATTTCATTATTTTTCCTTTATGAGTTGATTTTGACAAAATCCTTGACATCTCTTAATACTAAATATTTAAATTGAGTTGATACGTTTAAAAAGTACTGTTTTCTGAAGTATTTGATGTTTAATGATGTATTAGTAACTTTACAGCAGACTACAATCCAAGTACAGATCCCATTAATTTCTCTTTGATGTGTTAAGTGGATATTTAATGTAGTTTGTAACAGCATTGTAAGACAAATTCTCTCAAAAACAATGTAAAATCATCCCCATTTAACCTAATATCATTATCATCTAGAGAACACATTAATGATTTGTAATTTTCTGATGATTAAATTTCTTTAAAGTATGGATCTCACATATAATTAGAATAATTTTGCCACTTAAAAAATATTAATTATTCATTGCACCCAAGAATTATATCTGCTTATTCCTTTTATTATAAAAACCATCCTGAATCAACCAACCCATTATAATCACTTTATATCCTCAAGCTGATGAAACAGAAATGGCAAACTATTATGGATTTTATAGCAAGTATCTCCTACAAGTTATACAGCACTAGTAATACATAATTGCTAACATATTGTAAATTATTCAAAACCTAACAAAGGGCATGCTGTTGAGATACTCTCATTTACCCTTGTGCTTCTGGCTGCAAATGTTTAATCATGCTCACAGAGAAACACATACAAACAGATGTTTGTTGGATTTGTGGATTTTTATATCTGACTTCTGTGTTAGTTTCTCTAAAGTTCACAGTTCTTCAAACAGGAGCTGTGTCTTTTGAATGTCACGGTGGTGAGGATAGCACCAACTGGGTAATATTATTATTATTTTTTTAGGGTAGAAAGACAATGTTACCTAAATTCTTTAGGTAATCTGGCTTCTCAGGTATTGGTACCATATTCATTTGATTTATTTAGTGATAAATGTGTTGACTTACAGCCAAACTAAAATGAAGAATCCATATATTCTAAATTAAAGTTTCTCTACAGGCTACAGGCTTTTTATGTACTGCTGAGCAAATATTGTCAGATGTATGTTATTTTTACCATCTTTGTAAAGGCACCCTTCAACTGTGTGTCTTGAAATACTGAGAATATCCCTTACATGTGAAGTACCTGTGACACATGTATACTCTGCCATTGGTTTGGCAATACTGCAAAACACTGACTTTTAGTTTGGAAAATGCCTAAAAGGATTACATGGCCAAATAAAAACAGAATTTTGCTGAGGGATTATAGGAAACTTTACTTTGTATTTATGTTGTTTTAACATAGCATCTGTAATAGAGTAATAAAAATATCTCAAATGTCTTACAACTGCATGCAACATGATATTTTGTGTGTCCTCACTTACCAAGATTGATACTAATCTAGAGATTGCTTGTAACCCTGTTACTCAAGTTCACTTGGCACTGACAAGGACATCTTGTTCCAGAAGCTGCCAGCGCAGCATGGGGTCACTGTGTGGGCCGGGGAGTGGTGCTTGGAAGCTAAGTTTAAGGTGTCTATGTGTGTGTGTTTCCTGGGCAGCACCGGTTCTTCCTGGAGCCTACCAGCAAAGCCATTCCCAGGGCTACGGGTTCATGCACCAGGCCAGCGTGTCATCCATGAGGTCCATACAGCATTCTCCAAATCTAGTAAGTGTCAGTCAGACATACGTCTTCCACTCTGGTTTCATTCTACCTCAAAAACACCGGTAAATACACGTGGAATAGAGGCGAGTTGAATGTTGAGCTTTTTCATGTAAAGATAGGTGGTGATGTGCTGCCGTTTCTACAGTTCTTTCAAAGGGAGCAAGAAATGTCCAGAGTTAAAGCGTTGAAAAAGGAAGGCATTACTAAGCATATTAAAAAAAAAAAAAAAAAGAAAACTTAAAAGGGGTCTGCGAGTAACAATATCCCGATGGCGTCAGTTGCGGTTTTCACTCAGGCCGAGAAAGCACAGATGGGAAGCATCTTCATACAGCTCATGGAAGATATTTATCACAAAACAGCTATGTGTGGATTTCAAAACTTTTTTTTTGCACCAACATAAACTCATCTTTAATTCACTTTTTCTATGTACTCTTTGAAGTACCTTCATATTTGATGGCCACATTAACAAATTAAACCTTTTTTTTTTTTTTGACAGGCAGAGTGGACAGTGAGAGAGAGAGACAGAGAGAAAGATCTTCCTTTTGCCATTGGTTCACCCTCCAATGGCCGCCGCGGCCAGCGCGCTGCGGCCGGCGCACTGCGCTGATCCGAAGCCAGGAGCCAGGCGCTTCCTCCTGGTCTCCCATGGGGTGCAGGGCCCAAGCACTTGGGCCATCCTCCACTGCACTCCCTGGCCACAGCAGAGAGCTGGCCTGGAAGAGGGGCAACCGGGACAGAATCCGGCGCCCCGACCGGGACTAGAACCCGGTGTGCCGGCGCCGCAAGGCGGAGGATTAGCCTAGTGAGCCACAGCGCTGGCTTAAATCTTGACATTTATTAAAATGGCCACAAAAGTGTGAATGACCCAGAGTGGGGAAAAATGTGCCTTCAGATCCCGGCTCTGGAAATCTTGAAGTACTGATGCATCTGCTGAGTGTGGCGTTTGAAACCATCCGATCGCACTCAACATCTTGTGCTCGAACTGCTTCTCCAAGCCTGGGACCTAGCCGCTGGCTGCTTCCTGCACACTTAGAAGCAGGTGGCTCCCTAAGCTACAAGAGGACTTTAATGTCTCTGCCTTTCTTTGTGTCCTGGCCAGTGTCTTCAATTCCATAATGCACTAGATTTTGAGGTTGTGTGATAATTAGTTGAATTCATACCCTGAAGCAAAAGCAAATACAGGAAAACTCAATTTAAAGATTTCCCCTTATGACATTTATATTAAATATACCTCAATATTCATAACATTTATATGCTGAATTTCTGTCACTATGATACAAAAAAACCTATAAAGTCAGTAGATGATGAATTTTTCTTTTCTTAAAATGTATTTTTGAGGCGAAACAAAAATTCTTAGTACTGTTCAAGAAGTCCACGGCCTCTGCTGGGTACCGGGAACTGCCTCCATGGTGGGTTTTGTTCTCTGAAAAATGTGGCTCAGGGGAGACCCTACATCATCTAAGGACACTGGGATTATGTGAAGCTGTTGCCTTTACTGTTCCCAAGCCTACTTTTCCACGGGTTTGCTAAGCTATTTGTGGCTTTTCAAACTGTAATGCCCCCCACCCCATACTGCGCATTTGTTGCTAGGCTGCTTAATTTGCAATCAATCCGACTAGACGGATTTCCAGAAAGAGATGCACTTGCAAATGCTCCTAGCAGTTCCCTTTTGCGTGGGTTAGGCTGGTCGTGCCTGGTATCTGTGGTCATGACCGTCTTGGTGTTCATCGTGTGATCTCTTGTTGCCTTCTCAGAGGACCTACCGGGCCATGTACGACTACAGCGCCCAGGACGAAGACGAGGTCTCCTTCCGAGATGGCGACTACATCGTCAACGTGCAGCCCATCGACGACGGCTGGATGTACGGCACCGTGCAGAGAACGGGCAGAACAGGGATGCTGCCGGCCAATTACATTGAATTTGTTAATTAAGTCTTTCTCCTTGCCCTTTGAGCTTTATTCTAATGTATTCTAAATCTGATCTTTTTAAAAGATAGACGATACTTTTAAGAAAATTTGGCAGTTATTTTACAATAATGTATCCTTACTTTGACAAGTAGACACACAGGTACCAGGAAGAAGGAGGGACTTCTGGGCTGGAGACAGCAGTGTTTTCAGGAATTCCTGTACACAAAATCGTTAATGTCTGCAGACCTGGTGCTGCGAATTGTGTTCGTGGTTTCTTTTGATTGGCTATTGAACCCTTCTGGGGAAATGTATTTTTGTAGACTTATTTAATAGAAGTGTTGATTGTCCCTTCAATGTCATGAGTAATATGAGACTTCTTAGCTGTCACTTTGGAATCATCACCAAGAAGCCAATTCTCTTAATTCAGTAATGCAGCCGATAATTTAAACACTGGTGAGTTTTGGAGTCATTGGGCGATTTCCAGCTCAGGCAAAAATTGCCTAATGCAGTAAATGTAAGCAATGGCAAAATGACAGTTTGGTTAAAATTATATGGACTGGTGGCCTTAGGGACCTAGAAACATCCGCGTGCCCTGGGCTGACCGAGATCTGTTTGTTTCTCATTTGTACCAAGGCGTTCCCCCCTCTCCATCTGCGTTCTCTGGACCCTGTGTAGCCTCAGCTCCACAGAATGTCAGGACCAAGCACCTTCACAGCTACTCTGCAGAGGGGACACTGTGATGTCATCTCTCGTGTTTCCCTAGTAGCCCTGAGCCTGTTGCATGTCCTGTAGGTTCCAGCTTTTGTAACATAGGCAGCTGTCCTGCCCACCCCTGTAATTAAAGAAAAAACCTTGGCTGCTCCTACAGCCCTTCCTCTAGCTGCTGGCTCATCGAATAACATATTTTGAGAAGTTGCTTGAGATTTTCCTGCATTGCACTCTAGTTTTGAAGGATTTACATCTTAGGAAATAACACGTATACTCTAGTAAATAAGTGATCTAGGTGTTTATTGAACAGCTTTCATTAACTTAACACTGCTGTTGATTTAAAAATGAAAATGTTATAGAAACCAGTGGAAAAATGGATTGTGGAATGCATGGGAGTCAAACCCAGCAAACAAAAAGTTAGCAACTCCACCTTGAGATGATGTAGCCTCCGGGTTTGGAAACTGCCAGTCAGATTCTGGCATGGAAATCTAGCCGCTGAAATTGGTCCATCTGAAGACTTCCTGTCCACTTTCCAGCTTTTATTTTCCAAGTCACCTTAAGCAATGAGATAGGAATGTCTGCAGAGATTTTCAGTGTATGCCCCACAGGCTGTCCACTAAGAAAGAAATCCTCGTCATGCTTTGATTTTCGAATAAGTGACTCTGCACACCTCTGCTGTGTTCATAGACATGAGGGCGGCTTTTGCTGGTGGGCCCTGAAATCTCACCTGGAGGCTGCAGTCCAGGTCACTGAGAGGTTGATATGTTTTTCTGGGGGTGCCCCTTCTTGTGACCTGCAACACGGTGGCTTTCATGGAGGGTCTGACCCTGTGGTGAGGATGAAACTGAAAAAGCAAAACTGCTAACTTGTAATCAATTGTATGGGCCACGGGAATGTCTGCCTTATCTGATATTCAAGGAAGTTAGCAGCAGGGTCTGGAAAATATCTTTATTGAGACACTTACTAGTCCAGAGGCCAAAGCTGATTTGCTGACACTTCTGATAAGTTAGCTCAATCCTTTAGAAATTCTGTAGTTTCGTTTGAGAAAAACTCAAAGAGCAAACACTTCATTCCATGAAAGGTTCATCTGCATGACACCGACATAAAATTGAAAAGAGAAAAATTTAGGCAAATAACTAGAGATTTTTTTGGAGGGCATTTTACAGACTACTGATAACCAGCTTGACTGAATTTCTCTCATTGAAATGACGGTCATGACTAAATTGATTAAACCCATATCAGTTCTGATATTTTATACACAAACATGCAAAGACAACTCAACTTGTGATAATTTTACAGAAATCTGTGCATTAAAGTCCCAGGCAATAAGCCTGCCCAGTTTTATTATAAAGTACGTATTTATGTTTCACCCAAGTAGACCACTTTTGGTGTTTATAGAAAAGAGAGAAGTTGTTGATTAAATTTCCAGGCTAAATGTAGGACAGGTACAATTTTTGAGAAACAGCACATTTACAGCACATTTCTAGGAAGCTGAGAGGAGATTGTCCTGAAGCAATGCTTACAATCAGGAAACTTTCCAGAAAGCAGCAGTTTGATATCTCATGTTTTTCTCACCTACTGCTTTCAAAATCATATTCATTCAATGTAAAGTCAATACATATTTGGGGAGTAAGTCTCCTGAATTTTTAAACTGCACAGAATGCTCACATAGCAAGATATTCCTGCTTCTAGCCTTTAGGAATTTGGATCTGATCATAATTTAACTAGAGGGCAATTACTTTACAATAAAGACAGAGGAAGAACAAGACATCGCATGCAGTTGGGTTGTCATTTGATGGTGTTCGCATAGTACTAAAGCTTTGTCAGGATACTAAGCATCTCAGTAGAACAATAAGAAATACACATGTGTAATACCAAAGTGCTATTTTTACAGCCTCATTTTTAAAAACAACCATTCTGGAAACAACGTTTCCAGCTGGCACGTGCCTTCTGTGCACCTTCAGTTTGGCCACAGTTATCTCATACATAACACAGCTAAAGAAGAATTCTAAAACAAGTCTTTAAAAAATGAAGTTATTGAGACTGTAAGTGCCCGAGCACAGAGAGCATGCACCTGATTTTCTAAATGGAATGTGTTCTCAAACCTGACTAAAGCACAAGGGGTAGTTGGATACGCTTTAAAAAGGTTTTGACAACAAAATTGGTTGTAGATCATATCTCTCTTGAGAAAAGTATCACAACAGAGTATCTTGCTTTTGTTGTTTTGTGGTAAATGTTTCTACTAATTCTTGTTCTCTGGAAAGTTTTCTAGTTGTGACCTATTGCGAAATGAATGCTTCATGTCTTCTTGTTACTGTTTGTACATCACAGGGTAACTCAGTTTGAAATATGTATCTGGTTGTCAGCTCTCCGCAGAGGCCGTGTGTCTGACTGCCAGAGACCACACAGGGATGTGTAAGCACAATGCCCACAAGCACCTTGTCTGAGCGAGGCTGGCCTCCGAGCGGCCCCTGGCCTGGCCCTGGCCTGCAGAGGATGAGACTACGGGTCTGCCACACTCTTTCTTTCCTTGCCTCTTTGTGCTGAGCTTTATAGCACTCCGGGAATTGGGAAAACAATGGAAAGAGAGGGTGGAAGCACTAGTGGCACCCCTTATTTTCAGGTTCATGATTTCCCATGGAATGTTTTTAATAAAGAGATAATGTCTATGATCTTTGATAACATAGCCCTATACAAAGTGGACATAGTTTATACCAAAATTATAGTAATAGATACATAAAAAAAGAGGTGCCTTTTTGATTACCCTGTTTATCTATTATGGTCTTGGGAAGAAAACTAAATGAGCAAACTTCTGCCTATTATTCTATAGGAATATTTTATTATACATGATGGGTATTTTTGTGGTGGGGTTGGGGAATGCTCCTGCGAGGTATTAATGGTGGTAGCTAATTGTATTGTATTTTAACTCTAAAGGTTTAGAACTTTAGAAAATGTTGGCTTCTTCCATCGATTTCTGAAAGGTTCTTTATGGATTAATATATAGCTGAGATATGGAGACATTAACTTTAGGTTTGGGGTTTGAAATACTAGTGTAAGAGAATAATTTTGTTAGAAGGCTGAATTCGCTATGTAAGATGAATTTCACCTAATACGTTAATTATACCTTAGCTATTTGCTTCTGATAATCTAAAGTGGCTAGATTGCTGATGTTTTGGGTAATGTGACATGGAGATGAGATAGCTTTCATTGAGCAAGTAGCTGTGTAAACTCGATGAAGGATGCTAAAATGAGAGTCTCTTTCTGAAGTAACCCACAAGGGCCCTTTCCAATTTCAACTGTTGATGATCAAGAATGTCAAGACCTCATATGAGACCTCTGTGGTCGTCGTTCCGTGATGCTCACACTACTAGAATCCACAAGCCTGGAAAGATCCCCAGGCAAATTTTCTCCCCAGTTGTCCACATTACTTTGGTAGATTTGTGGGAATTCCATATGCTTTTTGTGTTTGATAATATGGTATTCAGTTTGCATAGTATCTGCGTCTTTGTAATCCAGTCGCTGTTGAGAACGATTTGCTTTAAAGGAAAAGAGAAAACTGTATCACAGTCCCATTCTCCAGCGTCCATATAATCAGCTGCTACACATTTTGGGAAGCAGCACCAAGTATGTGACAGGCATGATACAGAACTGTTGGCCTTTGACCTGTGATAAAAATGCAAAATCGCACCATTTTCTCCTTCGAAATATGTAGAATTGTGGTTGATGATAAATGTGCAAGACTGTACTAACATTGAGAACCTAACAGTTTTGAAGAAAACATTCAAAATGCTTTTCAAATGAAGGGGCTTACAGAATGATACAATGTTCTTAACATAATTTGGCTTTTGTTATGCAAATTGTTAACACCAGCTATTAAAATATATTTTAGTAGAAATGCTTTAATTCATGTTTTTTTCCTCTACACTGTGAATCTTTAAGCCTTGGTGGACTAGAGCAACATCATGCTGTCCAAAGGACTAACCTATGCAAACTAGTTCACATTTTAGTGGATGTCACAGTAGACGTGTAATGAGACATTATTTCCCCCTGCATAATGTACAATGGCATTGAAATTACACATTTAGCCCAGCATCATGTATGTATAGTACAGTCACTCACAGACCCTTCAAGGCTATCATAATCATTAGTATTAGTATTCATGTAAAAGCAAATCCATGATTTTTCAATGGAAGAGACTTGAACGATGTGAGAAGGACAATGAGCGATGGGCTCGTCGGCCATGGCTTTTGTGTGGTCCCTGTAGGTGGTCTCCTATGATAGAACTGTGTTCTCAGATGCACTCTCTTCAGGGTCTTAAAAGTTGGTGTCTTTTTCTGTATTTGTAAAACATTATAATGCATTAATTTCCTATCTCTACACATCTGGTTTGCTTAAATAAATGCAGGATGTAACAAAGTGGTTCTGCTTCTTGGTTCTCACCATGGGTCCTTGGAACATGGGTTGTGAGGTGCAGGTAATGAACCTCAACAGTATCCTGGGTATTAGGATTCTCGTGACAGTTCCCATCAAATCTGTCAGAGGCACGTGCTGGCTTTCATGCATCTCTACTGGTGAGTCATTCAAATGTGTTTTCCTCCCCAAAATGAGCTTAGTTTTATGTGATAATAATATTATGTAGTTTCAAGCTCAGTATATTTCTGTGTACTGCAATAATACATCATTATAGGTGACTTCTTTTAGAAACAAATTCCTCATATGTTCTCAACAGTACAATCCTAATTTCTTTATATTCATAAGAGGAAATAAACACCTTGGAGCAGAGAATAAAAAAGCACAATTTGAGTCTATGAAATGGGAAGATACTGTTAAGCTAAGAAGGACTCACTTATCATAGAACATAATTACTTTTTCCCCTAATTTTCTTATAACTGAAAAAAGTGATCCCCAGTTTTGCCCTCGTATTGAGACTTAGATCTTAGCCTGTATTGTTTTGTAAAAGTCTTCATTTGGTGCATATTTCTTCTTTATTGTCAACTGATACACTTGACAGCTGACCCCTATTCCTAGAATAAAGATTGCTTCCAAATGTTGAATTTTTTAAATTCAGCAGTCTAAAATGAATATATTTATAATAGTGGTAAACATACTCATGATATTGAAATTACAAAATAGAACAGCTCTTTATTTGAAAAATTTACTATCTTTTTCACTAAGGCTCAACTCCCACTCCCAATCCCTCTACCCCCTCCAGAATCTGGGCCACAGAGGAAATGAACTTAGGAAGAATTATTTTCTGACCTAAAATAATCTAGACTTAGAACACTCTATGATTGTATTCTTCTAACTTAAAGTATTATGAAATTAGTTTTATAGGTAATTGAGACATGGTAACCACCAAAAGCTTATTACCAAAATAACTTTCTACAAAAATACTCAGACACAATACATTGAAAAGTAGATGAAAGGAAAGTTTCGTTCCTTTATGTAATGTGCTTCTCCTACACAGAAAGATTGAATACGACTTTTGTGATAGCAGAAAGCTGGCCGTGGTCCAAGCGTGAACTCGGCCCCTTTCTGTGGTTGCAAGCAGAATTCTCAGGCCTTTGTCCATTGTATTTGTATTTGGGAGCAGCAGAGTTCTGATGAAAAAAAATAGAACAAGAAAATGGGTTTTAAGTGGTGGAAAATCAATGAGAACAAAGGGCCCAGTGGCTGGTTTTCTGTTTATACCATGGCATTTTGATCTTCATGTGTATCTTCCTCTCTTTCTTCCTTTCTTCATCCTTCTCCCCTCGCCCCCTTTTTTGAGTACCAAACAAGAAATAGAATTAGAGACAGAGAAATGAGCAAAATCTGAACTGCTGTGTTTTGACTTGAGAAAACAGGAAACGTATCTGCATCCCTACCTGAATGATCGTCTTGCTTTGTAAATGAACTCACTTCTGATTCCTGACCCAGGGCAGCTACACTTCTTGTCTTCTTCCAGGAGGTTGCTGTCTTCAGGCCGCATGGCTCAAATTGGTTTTTGTTCTACATGGATAGCTGTATCGCATCCCGCGAGATGCCATGTCTCTGGTCACAGCTGACTGCATCAAGGTGATCCAAAGGTCTTCACAAGAGCTTTGCGCAGGGATTGTGCCTTTACCTGCTCACGTCTCCCTCCTCACTGTGTAGAGCAGGTCAGTTAACTGCTTGTGTTAGTAAAAACGAAAAGGCATACAGAAGGAAAACAGGAGGAAGCATCAGCCAGGAATGAGCAGAAGAATAAGAGAAAGCCACGAGATGAGGCTGGGATATTTAGGAAGAATAAAATATACAGTAGATGATTGGTAGTGACAAGAATCAGAATGGATCTCGATGGTGGCCACGTAGGACTACGGACTGTGCTGCTGAGCCCATTCCAGATGTGTGAGTTCATCCACCAGTGGCCTCTGCTGTGCCTCTCTGTATATAGTGTCCCTTGTGGAGCTGAATCCTGTGCTCCTTCCCACCTTTGCACATAAACCTGCTAATCCTTGAGGTGGTTTTGAGCGGCTCTTTGTGCCTCCCAATCACAGTAGCTCAACCCACAGAGCCCCCACATATGTCCACTGTTGCAAAATGCAAGTTTCATGTTTTTAATTTATCTCCAGTGGATTATGTGACAGAATAAATCATTTTGACAAGGAATACACTTCATGAGTGGTGGGAAGATCTGCAAAATGTCCTTTCCAAAAAAATATTCAGTAGCAAATATGATTGCAATGCCAATCACATTATCACAGGTAAAATATCATAAGGTTATCTGCAATTTTATTTTTTGTTTCATGGACTGTTGAAAATCAGTGTGCAGTTAGAAAGTTGTTTCCTTGGATCCTGTGAAGAATATCAAGAATTAATATCAAATACATTTTTAAAATGCATGAATGACCTGAGTAGATATTTCTCAAAAAAAAAGATATACAAACAACCACCAAGTATATGAAAAAGGCCCAACATCACATCAGGGCACTACAAATCAAAATCACAATGAGATCATCTCACTCAGAATGGCTATTACCAGAAAGACAAAAAAAAATGCTAGCAAGGATGCAAAGACAGTGGAACTCTCATACACTGTTGGTGGGGATGAAAATGAAAATTAGTACAGCCTTTAGGAAAACAGTATGAAGATTCCTCAGAAAATCTAGAAATCAAACTACCCTATGTTCCAGCTTTTCGTACTATTAGGTATCTATCCAATGGAAATAGCAAGTTGAAGAGACATTTGCCCATGCATGTTTTTTTGCAACACTATTTAAAATAACCAGAGTGTGGAATCAACTTAGGTATCTGTCGATGGATGAATGGGTTAGGAAGATGTGTGTGTGTGTAATTTAACCCCCCCCCCATGTGTCATTTGCAGCTACAAGGGTAGAACTGGAGGATATTGTGTGAAGTGGAGTAAGCACAGAAAGAAAAATACATGTTCTCACTTCTATGTGGAAACTAGAGTTGATTTCCAAGAAGTAGAGAATCGAGGAGGGCTTACCAGACCTGAGGAAGGTGTCGCCGTGTCCAGGGTTACTCTTGGGTGGGAGGAATGACTTGACGTTCTGGAGCACGGTAGAACTGTGCTTGACAATAGTTAATTGAGCATTTCAGAATAGCTACTAAAGAGGATTTTAGACGTTCCTGGTACAAAAATATTTATGTTTGAGTTGATAAATATGCCAGTTACCCTCATCATCACACATAGCATCCCGTAAATATGTACTTTAACTTTTATCAGTAGAGATGTACAAAGAAAGGATGGGGGGGTAGTTTGGAGAATGTCTTCATTGTTTTCTAAGTGTTTGGCATAAAAGTAGAGGGAGAGTGCCATAGGCTTGGGTGTTAGGGGCTAAACACTGAACTGTTACTGCCCATCCTGATTAAGAAATAACTGAATTCTTCCAGGCTTACTCAGTGTTAGCTCTTTATTAAGGTGGAAGAACCAGTAGAAGTAATTTATTCATTGCAAATCTGTTTCTTCAGTGTTTACTTGATTGAAGGCAGTGAACACACTTTCTCACACAATGCTCATGGTGGGAAGGGAAGATGGGTATCAAACCACGAATTATCTCCTAACCCAAGTCTTTACTTAATTGCAGTTTAAGAGATGCCATGAGAGGGAAGCCCAGTACACCCTGGGTTCTGGTTGCCAGGAGTGATCTTAGGCTGGAGATGGGATGGCAAGAGATACTTCCCTGAAGAGCTGCTATCTGAACTGAGCTCAGAGCTGCCTGGGGAGTGGGCCGTGGCCATCCAGGGGTCAGGGGCGCGGGAAGATGTAGTCACTAGCAGTCAGCAACAGAACTACTCCAGTCTTCTCTCAAATTTACTTAACTTCAGCAGCAATGACAGATATCCTTATTTTTAACAAAATTAAATTCTTCATAGATGAAAGTCAGGATGTGCATTTGCATGAGTTTGTGTGGATGTGTGCCCTTTTGTTCCAACTTCTTCCATTTTTAAAGGATTCAGCAGGTTGCAGAGTGGGTTCTGTAAACACAGTTTCGCAGATGTGGAATACTTCACTTCCATTTTTGGATAATTGGTCACTCAGAGGCTCTCCTGTGTCCGTCCTTCTCCCTGAATGTGTTTGGAAAGTGTGTGCCTGCTGGGGTTACCAGAACACAGTGAGCCCAGAACCCACTGATCCCAGGGCTATGCTCTCCTGTTTGAGCTTCTTCAGATTTGGAACTTGTCCTCCCCTCTAATACGCGACCTGAGTTAGATACGCTACATGCACCAGGCAATGTGGGGAAAATGATTGACAAAGCAGGAAAATTGTGAGCAATTGTTGAGAGCACTTCCTTGCTTGGTGGTTATTCAAGGCTTTGTTGTAGAATCCAAGCAAGGATACTGCAATGTCTGCATCCCGTAAAGGCCTGAAGTATGTTTGTACGTTTATTTATTTATTTTTTATTTTTTTGACAGGCAGAGTGGACAGTGAGAGAGAGAGAGACAGAGAGAAAGGTCTTCCTTTGCCGTTGGTTCACCCTCCAATGGCCGCCGCAGCCAGCACACTGCGCTGATCCGATGGCAGGAGCCAGGTGCTTCTCCTGGTCTCCCATGGGGTGCAGGGCCCAAGGACTTGGGCCATCCTCCACTGCACTCCCTGGCCACAGCAGAGAGCTGGCCTGGAAGAGGGGCAACCGGGACAGAATCCGGCGCCCCGACCGGGACTAGAACCCAGTGTGCCGGCGCCACAAGGCGGAGGATTAGCCTAGTGAGCCACGGCGCTGGCTTGTATGTTTTATCTTATGCCATGTAAATGAATGATCATATTTTGGACATATTTGATTCCTCTAATCGATGCCTAGGAATAGGCTTCTTGTGGGATCACTTGTTCACATACAGATATTGCTTATACAGGTTTTTTTTTTTTTTTAGAAAGAAATGTTTTGAATTCCATAAGGGTACCAGATAAAGTGATGTCTGGACCTCCGCTT